TTAATCTATCTCCGATGATGCGCTCAAGTATGAGTGTGAAACGTCAGATGAATAAATCATCCTCCCCAGAGATCTCTTTACCTTCTTCCATATATATATATATGCATATGCCTATTCATTACCGACATCGGGGACCCTTTTAGCCCTTTTTATAGTCGATTAGATCCGTCATGCAATTTTTAGACCATCACAGTCATCTCACTCACAGTCGCATATCAGAAATGCCGGAGAATGCGAATATGCCTGCTTCGCAGATTTGCGACTTTGCAGTTTTCGTTCATCCCACAATACGCAAAAGATGTCATTAGCATGAGTTTAATTTCTGAATCCTATCACTTGACTGGACGACGACCTGCTGGATAAAATGATCGCACAGTTTTTCCAACATTCTTGCCGTAACCTTCGAAGTCAAGTGACAGTCTGCGATTCTCCATTCCGACGTAGAATCCGTTTGAGACGATTGCGCACCGCTTTGTTTCTCTCAAATCGAAACAAACCTATTAGATTTAACCCACGGAAAAGAGTAGGACGCAGGGACTTAAGTCCAAAATGCCCTATCTATCGATGCAACCTTCAAACAATGCAGTAACAGCAGAAATTAATAACGAAACCTTTTGTTCCTCATCTATTTATTCGACTGACAACGGCTTGCATGTAAGAGGAATAGTCCCTTCCAGGCGTACAATTGCTGAATTAAGCGTTTCGCTAATTGTCCCCCTGGATATATAACCGAACGATAGGGTAATGTCCTCGTAGTCGTGTTCGGTGATGTTTTTGACGAACAGAGCGTTAATTGTGCACATTGGTGGCAACATTCCGTCCGCAAGATACAGGTAAGAGCAACGGCAACGTACTAGTCGGGCAAATGTATCGACAGAGCGAGAACCCCGTCTGCGTTCTCGTATACGCATATCACACCAAAACAGCGATTAGGGAAAAATTATTTAAAGAAAAATCGGTTTGGTTGACTTGATGACACTAACACGCTCCTAGACGAAATGAACAAGGTTAAACTGATATTCCCAAAAACCAGCGTTTTGGGTCATAGAGGTAGCGTAAACTGACGACTCTTGTATAGGCCGAGCCACAGTGGGTTTCGGGGGAGAGAGGGATGACGGAAGTATAATGGTTGTTCACTGACCTGAAGGTGAAAGGGGATGGTGGACCAGTCAGAGCGCGGACGATTAAATTAGCCGACGTTAAGGGATGGAGGTCAATAAGCTGCGAACGCGGACCGTCCTGTTGGGTGCCTAGTTCAGCAGGGCGATTGATATTGCGGCATTGGGGGAAGTATCAAGCGTTATGACAGTCTCGCGCTCGTTTTGTGTTGGCTATGCCACAGCCTCAGGTTTGTCCCAACTGGGTCACTGGTCACACCCGAATGCGCACGCAAAGACTACGGACTGTCTGTTTGTTTCGTTAACTGAAGTAGGGTTTTGCCAGTCAGTAAGCGTCCGCCGCATACGCTACTGTTCATCGATCGATTCGCGTCTTTTCGGCATTTCTCTGACATTTTTGTACATGACGTCTAAGTCAACATGCCGATTACAGCATGTTTAAGATGTTCTCGATCGTTTTGGTAGGGCAGACGCGGACGATGCGTGTCCTGTCTCATGCAAATTATGTCTGATATCTAGTATGTCCGTCCGTGTGTTAGACGAAAGGGCAAACGTATCGACAGTACGAAAACCCCGTCTGCGCTCCCATATGTGCATATCAAACCGAGATGGCAAATGGAGAAAGGTTATTTAGAAAGAAATCGCTTTGGCCCCACGAATTTTCCAAACTAATGACGCCAACACGCTCCGAGACGAAATGAACAAAGCGAAAGTGGGATTATCACAAAAGAGCATTTGGATAACAGGGGTTGCAGAAACAGACGACTTGTGTGTCAGCCGAACTGCGATGGGTTTCGGGAAGAGAGGTAGGACGGAAGTATGCTGGCTACTCCCTATCCTGGAGGAGGAGGAGGAGGAGAAGGAGGAATGGAGGAGTAGGAGGGGAGGAAGAGGATACCGAAGCACTCAGAATGTGGGCGGCTAAGCGAAAGGTCGCAGATTTAGGTTTGGGACAGTGGTCAGCTAGCCGTGGTCACAGATCCTCTAAGTAGGCGTCTAGGACATCATACCGACTGATCTTGCCACACTGAGTTACGAATTCTCCAAAAACTCTTTCGCGTGTTTCGTGTTGGCAATGCCACAATTTTAGCATGTCACACTCGGGTGCGCGCGCCGGGACGAGAGACAGAGGACCATGCCGACGGACGGCTGGTTTGCTCCGCTAGTCGAACCAGGGTTTTGTCCTTGGCAATGCAGTATTATTGGCAGAACCAGTGAGAAAAAAAGCTAGCCCTGCACTGGAAAATTGGTTCTCACATTGGACCATAAAACGGGCCATCGACCTGTACTCCGCTTACCAGGCGCTTCGCACATGGCTCGGATCAGTTTAGGCAGACCCAATTGGGCAGGCAAGTCTGCCGACTGACAATAGGGAGGTCGGTAGGCGGGCTGATTTGGCTACAATTTTGGTGGACACAAAAGGAGCAGAGGTCACGCGAGCCTTCAACACGTCAACCTCGAAGAGGTCAAAGCTAGTCAGTAACAAACGGGCAGGTCCAAGTTCGTGCGTCGGACTGCAAGGCTAAATAGACCAAGCCTCCGCTAGAAGGCCAGCTATGGGTGACCTCATTAGGACCCCATTTATTTGTTGATTAAGCATTGCTGCTTAAACGATAACAGTTGGTTTCCAGCCAAAGGTCTATTAGCTCAAGTATGGCAGTGCCAGCAAATCCAAAGGAATATAATTTGATGGCATCAGGTGATTTGGGAAAGTAAGACCTTTATTAGTAAACTTCCGACGATGGTTCTCCGGGTCGTCGTCAGACCTGGATAAATGAACAACCAACGGTCAACATTTCATGCATTCCCACAAATCCATACTTCCTTGGCGTTTCTGCTTGCAATAGTCTGCCGCATACGCGATTGTTCATCGATCGGTTCCTGTATTTTCAATTGTGTTCTGATATTTTTGTACATGGTGTCTAACGCAATATGTCGATTTATGTATGACTCATCTGAGTGCATGACTTCAGGAAATTCACAGTCGTTTTTAGTATGGCAGACGCCGACGATGTGAGCCTTGTTTCATTCAAAAGTAGTGTATGCATGACCATTTGTGATAGGTGCCATCGCCTCATAACTGCCAGTTCATGTTAGTAGATGCGCGTTGAGGTAGACTTTTTAGTTTGGCCACAATATACGGAATTGTATGATTTACATGGAATCTAACAGGCAA